GATCATTATTTACACTCTCTTATTTGCAATTTAGCCATACACAAAATCCTCTCCCTAATATTACGAAGAATGTGACCAAGTTTTCTGGATTAACTTTTGTTTTCCCTTTTTCCACTCACTTTCTGCTAGTGTTAATGAAGATTGAGATGGTTAGACATAGCAAACTAGATTAAGAAGATCCATGAGTTAAAGAATAAACTTTGGAATAATTTGACTTTGAATGTAATTATTTATGAAGTTAACAGCATTGGCATTTACAAGGGACACTGAAATGTGTACCTTCTCATGGGCTTTAGTCACTGATGTAACTAAAAATAGTTCTTATAAAGTTGCATTAATGCTGATTTACTGACAAAACTGGGATACTCACAGTACATGGGAAAGTGTGTGTGAATTATCTGTCGTGTCTAGGCAGTAGGTACATCATTAGGAAATGCTCAGTTGGTATTTCAGTTGATGTTACGTTTTCATTGCAAATGGTTAAAATGATTAAGGTGGTATTTATTTTATGTTTTATCTCTCTCTTTTTTTATCTCTCTTTTATCTGTATAGTTGATCAGATGTTTTGGGAAGTTATGCAGTTGAGAAAAGAGATGTCATTGGCAAAGCTGGGATATTTCAAAGAGGAACTCTGATGCTCTCTCTGCCTGGGAACGTGCATGAACCTCCCTTAAGAACTGGAAAGTGGCTGAATATTTTTGTGGTTACTTGATATTTATTCCAAGGAGTGGTGGGCCCAAGACTTTTTCACTCTTTTGAAAATTACACTGAGAAGTACTGTGATTTGGTTTAAGCTCACCTATGCTGTATTTGCTTATTCTATAGTTGAACACATAAAGAAGAATTACAGGTGTACTAGTGATTGTAATTTATAGTTGCAAAAAAAAAAAACCCAAACAAAAAGCTAAATAAATACATATAGATTGAATGTGGTTTTGCTTTTTATTCTACTTCTGACATGCCATCTAGGGCCAGCTGAATTTTAGGTCCAAGTTTTCAAATGGCAACAACCTATGAGAGGCAAGGAAAAAGGTTGAGTAAACAGGACTCGGATTTCAACCTTTCTCTAGATTTGCCCCCCCCCCCTTTTTAAATTAGGTATGGGTTTACATTTCAGATAATCAGTTTTGTATTCAACAACTTAAACCTACTTACCAATCATCCAAATAGCTTGCCCTGCTCTCATCATTTTTCTTCTCCCTGTGGAGTACTAGCTTCCCCTTCCCCCCAGTTAATACCTGCCTGCCCTCTAGCCTCTATGGCTTCCTCTTCCTGCCCTTCCCCTCCCACACCTGGTAACCAAAGCCTGTTTCTTTTGGTGTGAAAATCTTTGTATTGATTTTTCATTATTAGCAGTGGTCTCATACAATATTTGTCCTCTTATGATTGACTACTTTCACTCAGCCCATCCATGCCATGAGGGGTTTCATGGCTTCATCATTATTCTTTAGTGAGGCGTAGTATTCCATTGTGTGTATATACACCAGAGTTTACTGATCCATTCTTCCACTGATAAGCATTTAGGTTGTTTTCATCTTCTTGCTATTACGAATAGTATTGGAATGAACATGAGTGTGCATATAACTTCGTGCCATGGCGCCTACTTGACCGTGTACACCCTGTAAAGGGATGGGCATTGTATTGCTATTCCCAGTTGTGTGAGGAAGCACCATACCACTTGCTAGGGTGGCTGCACATATTTACAGTTTTAACAACAGTGTATGAGGATTCCATACATTGACTCTGTTTTATTAATTTTATATATTGGTCTTCAAAAGACTTTATTTGAAGAAACGTTTGTGTAAAAACATTTGAAAGTTACTAGTTTAATTATTCTGCCCACTAATTGAAGAGACTCCTTTGTGTTGTTGTTGAATAACAGGTAGAGCATAGTGTAGAGCAGTGTTCTTGGACACACTGATGGAAAGCACTCAGCCTTTCTATGTGTTGAGCACTCTAATAGGCACTGGAAGGATATAAAGGTAGATAACGAGTGTGATGTTGTGTTCAAGGGGGTTTGAAGTGTGGATTGATAGAGTAGTACATGCAAACTATATGCTGATCTGTAATTCCATGTGGTAAAATTGGTTTCCTATGAAGGAGCTCTGTAAAGTTAATTATAAAAATCATGGTAAAAATGTTGTACTGTAAAAAACCAGAAAGAAGAAATGAGAAACTACTTTGTTCTCTCCATCTACAGATAATTAATATATTTTAGGTAATAATCTTTCAGGTTTCTGAGATTGATTGTGGTGATGATTCTTAAAAGGGTAGAATGATTAAATTGTATGATATGTGAATTATAAACCAATAAGACATTTAAAAATAATCAGGTTTTAGATGTTTTTACCGAGATATGCATATGTCTGAAACAAAGACAGGACTTTCTTAGAAAAAGACATGTTTACTTTTTAAAAAAGTTAAATATTTCCCCCTGTTGGCAAATCTAGACACCATCCTAATTACTGTATGAATGTGACAAAATTTAACCAGTAGTGTGTTTTTGGAAATTGAGTTGTTTTTTAAGATTATAATGCTGTGATGAGTATCTTGTGTACATCTTTATTCTTAGGTGATTGTCTTAATGTGAATGGTTAGAAGTAAAATTGTTGGGTCAATTATAAAAGTTCTAATTTGCATATAAAATGCTCTTAAGAAAAATTGACCCAATTTATATTCACAGCAGCAGTCTATAAGAATGCTGGCTTTTTGAAGACAGTATTTTTTTTTTCTTCCCAATTCTGTCTCACGGGTTTGAGCGATTTTTGACTATAGAAAGCTAGGTGTCAGGAGTACTAGCGGCTTGGAGGACCACAGGCAAAGGCATATAAATGGTATGATCGAAACCATCCTTACCATATTCAGCTCAAGAATCTTACACTGGACATAAAAACCTTGAAACTAGATTTTTATTTCTCAATAGCATTTTCATATGATAGCATAAGCATTCAAAGCTTCAGAAGCTCTTTCACATAAAGATACAAATGAAAAATTTTAATAGACTATCAAAAACAATCTACCACTTTTCTGTCAGTTTGTTGTGCTCTTGTGCCTTGTGTGTTTCTGTGATGCTGGAAACTGTCATTAGTAGTACAAATTCCATCAGGGTCACCCAGTGAACAAGTTTCAGATTAAGAACAGACTATGAAGAAGGAATAAGCTGTCCACTCTTGAGGAATTGGCAATTGTGGCAGTTACATAATCTACTGTCAACTTGAGGAAGGGGTGGAGTCTAGCCTGTAAGGTCGCAGCTTGATGACCTCATTTGGAGGTGTGACAGAGATAAATAACTCACTAGAGGCCAGATACACTCTCCCTGCAAGACATTTCTGTTGACAAGCCACATAGGGCTACACAAATTGAGAAATTCATTTCTTTAAGCAACTCTCTGATGACTTGTCTTTTTAAAAGGCCCAGAGCCCAATGTGACCTTTGGAGGACATTAAACCACCCTCCTCCTGTCCCACTACCCCTTGCTAAAATCACTTTACTCAACTTGCAGGAACAGTTTATATATTGTATTTGGAATGTATTCTCATAGCAGTGCACAAACAAATGTAGCATATGTGAGATCATGAGCCTGGAGTGTTAGCGTCTTATCCAGAAAAACCACAAGGCAAAGGGAATTGGCCTATATTTTAGAAGACACAGCAAAGGCAATCTGAATATTCATAGGGCTTTGAACAGAGAAAAAAACAGATTTGGGGGAATTAATATGATGGTAACAGTTCTTAGGCTAATAGTATCTTGATTGTGTGGGGAAATGCTCTTACTCTGAGATAGAGTAAATTATCTCTGGATAAACTGTCAGGATGTCAGTAACTTAACAGATCAGCCACAATAAAAGCATATGTACATATCCAGAGAAAAGGCACCAATACAAAATAATTAGTAATCTATGTGAAAAATATATGGGTATTTTATGGTACTCGTCTTTCAATTTTTCGGTAGGTTTAAATCTTTAAAAGTTGACCGGGGGCGGGAAAGGAAGGGATTCAACATTTAATTCCCCACATATCCCTAGGCTGTCATTTAATAGCTGGCAGCAACAACTCTTAAACACTTCACTATTAGTCAGAAGGTTGGTTGGTCCAGTCCACCAGCCAGTCCACTGAAGGAAAGACTTGGGGATCTCCTCTATAAAAATTACAGCTGAGGGAGCGAGCTTGCTGGGGCAGCTATTCTGTTATATGGAGTCACTGTCAATCAGAACAAGTGAAAAGAAAACATTTATTTGAGTAAAGCTTTTTATTTAGGAATGAAACCAATCATGTACTTGGTTGCAATATGTATTAAGTTGGTAATAAATTATTAGGTTGGTAATAATAGATTTGTTGCTTTATAGAAGGACCTTTTATACTTTATAATTTATATTGTAATGAAAACAAATGTGGCAAAATAGACATGTTTACTTGGAATTTCAGTTTTCCTAATGGATATATTTGATTATGCTTAACACCTCAACTTTTCACAAGCTTTTAAAATTACTTACTATCTAGGTATCTGTAAAAGTGAATCATATTGATTTGCCCCCTTTCTCTAGGTTTAAAAAACCTGGACTATCTTTTGCTTGATTGTGGCTAAATGGATCTGGGTGATAGAGGCGGAGATACAAATATATTGGTGTAAAAGGACAAATAAGAGATAAGATTGTATTTATTGCCCATTTATGTATTTACATGTGTCACTAAGGACAAAGGTCCTTGAAGACGAAAGGCAAAGTAGAAATAGTGCCCGCGATAGCAAGACCGATGGATTTGCTTCCCTTTTCTTCATGAAAAAAATCGCTGCGATCGTAGTGTATCTTCCTAATTCTGTAGTCACATTTTGGGAACTTGATCTGTCTTCCTGGATACAATTGGATGCCTGCAGATAGGCTTCACTCCTTTGAAGAAAATGAAGTTTTTTCAAGAGCATTCGTAGCCGCAGTCAGGAGAGCACTTCCTGAGGTCTGATAAGCCTGTTCTATGAGGAAGCGCTGCTAGCTAGGACCCTGCGCCATGGATGTCCTGGGTGAAAACGAGGCCCTGCAGCAGTTCTTGGAAGGTAAGAGGCCAGCTGCCAGCATGCAGTTCAGGAGAAATAGGAGATGTTCACGATAGCATTATTTTTCTTCCTGAAATTGGAATTAGAGGTGTATTTGTTTCATTTTTAGAAAAAATAACGATGATTGTTAGTGATTTTAAAAAATGTTTTCAACTTACAGGTTGGTTGTGAAGAGTTGAAGCGTCAACATAATCTCTCTTGACACTTCCTTGTTCCTATCCTGTGCTAGAGTTTATTTCTTCTAATTTTGTAAACAGATTGATGCCTTAATTCTAAGCTTATTCTGTATAGCTCAAGAAAAATGTAAGGTTTTTAAAAAATTGTTTCTTTTAATATAATTAAATACAAAACAGCCAAAAGCAACAAAGAACTCCTCTTCCCCATTATTCCCGACTTTTTTCCCCACAGCACTTTAAAAAACGTGTGGTTGGATAATGATTGGTTTTTGGAGCCGGAAACCTTTTTTCCTTAAGGAAGAGTCATACTATGGTTACACAGGTTTTCCTCTTTTAAAAAAATCGAGTGGCAGTTCTGCTTCTCATTGAATGGCGTTGGTTGCTACTCCTAATGGTACCCTAATGGGTCATTTGTGAAAATATTAGCAAAGACGTGCATTTTTGTGGTGCCCGTGCCATTGAGAGGCACCACACTGATGTAGGTGTTAATCACCTAACCGATCCTGACCCTCTACGGGAAGCAGACTGTGGCCATAGCTTTCACCCATTCTAAGTTAGTTCTCTGGTGGGAGGATTAAAGGCAGGCCATCTCTCTTGCAGTATCCAGAAGGCAGCCAGCTTTTGGTATTTCCTGTGCTTAGTAAAGTGCCTGACAAATAGCAGATGTTTAAAGGTTGAATGGAATTGACAGAACATTAAAGAGTGCCCAAAGCTAAACCGTGACAGATCTGGCCAAAGAAATAATGAGATTCTAAGTCTGTATCAGAAGGCATAAAGATGGTATGCTTGTTTTCCATGGTTTGGTTTTTGCTGGAAGTGACAGAAAGGAACATGAGACCAGAGAAGTGGGCGTGATAGCTCAGTGCCACGTTCCGTCCATCCCATTGAGAGTCTGGCAGTGCCAGTTGGTGGTGTTTACCTGGGTCGGCTTTGGCCCAGAGTAGACCCACTAATGCCTGATTGAAACCCTTTTCAAGCAGAAGGTACCAAGCCTCAAACTATACTTGCATCTTCTTTGTTTTAGAGAAACCACCAATTCAGTTTCAAAATTGCAAACACTCTACTTGATTTTCTGCCAGATTTGGAGGCCCGAGTCATTAATCTGGTCTACTTCCCTGTCCTGCCCTTGCATTATTTGCACTATTTGCAGAGACGCTGAATTATACTTTCCACAAGTCCGTTCTGAAAATTGTTGCTACTCCTGATTATTATCTTCATCATAATAATGTGCCTTAGCATTTTTCTTGCTTTGTTTGAAGGCTTGTTTCTGATAGAAGAGGAGTCTGTTCTTTGGGAAGAGGGTAAAAATAATAGCTGGAATTTACAAATTACAATTTAAAAAATGGAGGCATTAGCTGATGAGCCCTCCCAGCCCCCAAATCACACAGCTCGCTCCCAGTGTTCCCTTGCTTCCTCTGTTCAGCAAACACCGATGAGCTGCTCTGTGCCAAGCCCATCAGCCGCGCACTGCTTCTCAGTGGTAGGGTATAAGGTTTCCTTTACATTTTAGTGATTTTCGTTTTTTGGGGATCCTTTAACAATCTTCCTTAGAATGAAGATGGTAAAACCAGATGTGATAGGCTAGTGAGGAGTCAGTTGTCATATGCCTGTGTCATACTCCTCTTGATGCTTTTTTCTGGTCAAATGCAGTCTCATGAAAACTTGATCTGGAAAGAAGAAAAGTGTTAGCAGTTTGTTACGCACACTCCGGCAGTGTTTTCCCTTTCTCGTGCCTACTCTTAACTCATTGTTTATTTTTCTTACAAACATTTTTGCAATAAAAGAATATCTAGATAGACAATATCATTTTTAATTAAATAGCGTTGACTGAGTTCATGATGACCTTAGTTTTTTGTAACTCAACACTTTATTTAATAAATTATTTTATTGGGGATTCTTATAGCTCTTATAACAATCCTTACATCAATTGTATCAAGCGCATTTTACATACGTTGCCATCATCATTTCCAAAATATTTTCTTTCTACTTGAGCCCTTGGTATCAGTTCCTTGTTTCACCCCCACCCTTGTGAATCCTTGATAATGTATAAATTATTTTTAGTTTCTTGCCTTACACTGTTCACTGTCTCCCTTACCCACGTTTCTGTTGTTTGTCCCCCTGGGGGTAGGTGGCGTACGTTGATCATTGTGATCAGTTCCCCCTTCCACCTCCTCCCCCCACCTTCCTCCTACCCTCTTGGTATTGCTACTCTCAATATTGGTCCTGAGGGGTTTATCTGTCCTGGATTCTGTGTGTAGAGAGCTCTTATCTGTAGCAGTGTACATGCTCCAGTCTAGCCAGATTTGTAAGACAGAACTGGGGTCTTGATAGTGATGGTGGGAGTTGAGGAAGCATTAAGAACTAGAGGAATGTTGTATGTTTTGTTGGTGCTATACTGCACCCTGCCTGGTTCATCCCTTTCTGTGACCCTTCTGTGAGAGGGTGTCCAGTTGTCTACAGATGGACTTTATGTCTCCATTCTGACCCCCCTTGTTCACATCAAAATGGTTGTTTGTTTTGGGTCTTCTGATGCCTGATACCTGATCCTGTGGACACCTTGTGATCACATGAGTTGGTATGCTTCTTCCATGTGGGCTTTGTGACTTCCCTGCTAGATGGCCACTTGTTTAACTTCAAGTCTTTTAAGATCCCACAGGCTATATCTTGTAATAGCTGGGCACCATCAGCTTTCTTCAGCATATTAGTATATGCACCCATTTTGTCTTCAGCAATCATGTTGGGAAGGTGAGCATCACAGAATGCCAGTTTATTAGAACAAAGTGTTCTTGCATTGTGGGAGGACTTGAGAAGAGGCTTAATGCCCCTCTCCTACCTTAATACTTAACCTATAAATATATGTACATAGATTTATATCCCTATCATTATATCCCTATGTCATTTGAAAACTAAACATCACGTCGAATGTTTAACTTTGTCAACAAAGTTGGTACCACTGCAACAAGAGGTTTTAGTTATAGTTAAAAATTCACCATATCCTACATTTCTAATTCAGAATTTCCAAATTCACCATTGAGTTGATGCCGAGTCACAACACCCTCCCTGTGGACTTCCAGGAGTAGAAAACTCAGTCTTTTCGTTAAAAAAATATATTAATAAAAATTTATTTTTCAGTTTTATTGGCACATAATCCACATCTTACAATTCAATTGTTCAGTCGTGTCAAGAATTGTACAATCATTATCACAATCAATTTCAGAACATTTTCTTTTTATTCCCCCATGACTAAATCACCTTTAAAATAAAATCGGCTGTGTAATCACACACATTCAGTTCCAGTGCTCCCTCTCCCTCCCACCTTCACTCTTTATTCCCCAAATCCCCTCACCCTCCCCATTGCCCCCCCATGCCGCCCTACATCCCCTATACATCCTTGCATCAGTTATTCTCTCTCTGCACCCACTCCTGTGCTTCATGAACTGTTAAACCCAACAGAAACAATAAAGAACAAAAACGAAATGAAGTGGTAAGGATCAGACAATAGTAATACAAAGAATACCACAATGAGCAGGGAAAAAAAAGACCTCCATCAATATTTTAAAAGCCAAGAACAAGCAAGAGATCCTTGCACCTAGAACAAATTCAGGTTGGGTCTACTGGGAGGCCAACTGACCCAGTATCAAGTTTTATCCAGCCTAACCAGGATGACAGTGATCTGTGTTTGGTAGTGAGGCTGTTCCAGACCTTTGCCTGTTGCTAGAGGGGGCTTGCCAGTGGTGTAATCTGACTAGATACTCTGCCAGATGGGTTTGGGCTCCTAACAAGAGCCACTGGTGGTTTCGAACTGATGACTATGTGGATCCAGCCCAACACGTAACCACTATACCACCAGGACACCTACATTCTAATAGTGATGAGGAAAGTAAATGTTGACTTCCAAGAAATGATATATTTTATAGCTATCAAAGGTAATATAGGAAAAATATTTTAAAAAATTAAAGATATTAAGAAAAGGGTTAAAAATGGATCTATATAATATATACAAGGGGGTACTCAAAAAAAAAAAAAAAAAAAGGAACTGGAAAGAGCTCCACTGGGCAGAGCTTTTATAAGTACGCTGAGTTAGTGCACCCAGTGGTGTTGCAGGGAAGGGTTCTCTCTGGCCACTGAATTTTTCCATAAAAGAAGTTCACTTGAACCTCATTTTTTGTGATGGCTCATTTAAGAGAAATTTGCATGCGGCTGTAAAGTTTGTTTCCTATGTGTGTAGGTGGGGTGGCGGGGGGTGGAGCTGCAGAAACTGTTGTGATGTTGAACACTGCCTTCAAGGACAGCATTGTGGGAAAAACTGGAGTGTACCAATGGTTTTCTCGTTTCAAAAAAGGTAAAATGTCGACTATTGACAAACCCCATTCTGGATTTATGTCAACTTCCTGAAGAGATGAAAATGTGTTTCAATATCATAGAGCATTTGGAGCTTGTTCCATCAGGTCAGACTGTTAATCAAGCTTCCTATTTGGAGGTCCTGAAAAGATTGCATAAATATGTGCGACAAAAAAGGCCTGATTTGTTGCAGACGAGGGACTGGTTTTGCCACCATGACAATGCACCTGCTCATGCAGCCATCTGCGTGTGCCAGTTTTTGGCAAAAAACAGCATGCCTCTCTTTTCCCACACACCTTACTCACCTGATGGCCCTCTGTGCAACTTCTTTTTGTTTGTATGAATAAAGAAGGACAAGAAAGGACAGTGATTTGTTGATGTAGAAAGGTGAAGAAAAAAAATGAGGGAGGCGCTGTCAGCCACCCAAACAGATGAGTTTGAAAAATGTTTCCAGGAATGGAATCGCAGGTTTGACAAATGTAT